GCCAAATGCCTATAAACAAGCCACCTAATCCTCTTTCTGTATTGCTCTGGCCAGGGGCTCTAGTCTCAAGGGATAGGCAGCTCTGGACTGTGGGGACAAGAAACAGCTGCTGCTCTTAAGGAACATTCCTTCCCGGAAGGCCCTGCTCAGGTTTCACTGACTGAAAAGGGCTACTCTCTCTGTCTCCTGGTGTTGAATTGGGGGAGGGGCAAGGGCTTGGAGGATGGAGAACTTCATGCCTGCACTGTACCAGGCAGCTGCTGAGGTAGACAGATGGAGCTCCAAAGACTCAGGGGTCTTGGTAGGTTTGAAGGTCTGACCACTTTGTAACTTCTGTCCTGGAGAGGTGTTTCTTTCCACCGCCTGCTCTGTATGTTCCACATAGTGACTGAGCCCCACGACCAGGCAGGAAACTTCCAGGGATGGATAGCCTCCCCAGAGCTGGCTGGGTAGATTCTCAGCATGTAAACTGAGCTGCTCTGACAGAGCAGTAACATGTTTATTCCTTGAGCACAAGGGCTTTTTTCATGTTCGTTTTTGTATCCCCTCTGTCTAACACAATGCTCAGTACCTCAAAGGTGTTTAATAAATGCTCACTAGGTCCGATTAGGCTGTATTGAATAAAAGCTGACACTATTTTCTGCTCCCATCCCTGCAAGTCCAAGGTTGCCTCCCTGGCCACTGAGCCAGTTCCACCATGAAACTACCTCCTCCTTCCTGGAAGGAGATTTCTTGATCAAACTAGTGTCTGACCTCACAAACAAGGAGCTGCCCCTTCTTTGGTCCCTCTGCCCAAGGACTCAGAATTGACACCCCCTCTGTTGTACACCCTTAGTCCCAGGACGGGGTGGACTTTGTGCAGCTCGCCCTTGGCACACAGCTTGCTAGTTATTGAACTGTTTGGTCCTCACAGCACTACAATTATGACCCCATTTTGTAGGAAAGAAACTAAAATTCAATGACATTAGATAACCTGCCTAAGGTCACACAATTAACAGTAGAGATAGGATTCAGACTCAGGTTTTTTGATTCCTGAGCTCAATTATATTTTCTCTAAACTATGTTTCTGCAATGCCAAATGCCCACTGCCTTTGTGAGCAGCCTGCTCCAAGCTTCTGGCTTCTCCTACTTGGAGTGAGCCTAGGAAACAGCTGTTCCCTGTGTTTTATTCCTCTTAATCCACTGAAAACATTGCTTTAGGCTAATAATTTCCACTAGGAAAATAATGCCCAGTCATTCATTCAGTGGGTACACAATGAGTGTATGCTACATACTGAGTGCTGTGGAAAAGAAAAGGAAATCTAAGACAGCACCTACTTTCAAGGAGGTTACAATCTCCTTGGGGAGGTAGGGCATCCAAGCACAAAGATGGGAAATTCCCCTGTACTTGCCAGGCTGGGATTTTCCCAGAAAGCAAAGCAATTACAGACTCACAGAATAGTCTATTTGGAAGGGACCCTGGAGATCATTCTGTCACAATCTTACCTAAAGCATGAATCCTTTCCACACTATCCCCCAAAATAGGCAACCTAGCCCCCACTCAGATCCTGCCAGGAACAAGTTTTCTCTTTTTTCCCATTCCACATTTGGACAACCTACTGGCCTGTAGCAGAAACCACATGTTTTTTGTACTAGTTCAACTGAATTCAACTACTACTATATAAAGGACATGCTGAGGGAGGCCCTGCTCAAGAGGAGCCTATAATTTTTGACTAGGACAGGAGACTAGTATGCAAGGAGGAGTTAAATAACTTTTGATACGTATGACCTAATGCTGAATAAGTGGGAAAGATTATGGTATGCTGGAGTAAGCTTCGTGGAGAAGCCTGTGGAAGGCAGCAACAGTAGCCAGAGTCTCTGGACCCTGCTTCTGTAAAGTGGTATCACAGGGAATCTACCTGTGCCCCACAAAAGCAGCTTAACCTCCTTGCCTTCCCTGCCCACCCCCCGTCAATTCCTAACCAGAAAAGTCAGTAGTAGATGCAAATAGCTAAGGAGAAAGGAGCCAAAAGAGAGGTAATGTGGTGGGAGGACTGGTTTCTAAAAAATCGAAATTTCTTTCATTTTTCAACACCAATGTACAAATTTAACATATGGAGGCAAACTATGAGCCAGCATTTTGCAACAAAGCTCTCAGAGGTGGGGGTGGAAGGGGGTATAAGGAGAGAGAAGAGAGGAGAGCTGGGGGAGGGGAAGGGGAAGGGGGAGGAAAAGGAATGTTGATCCCTTCAGATCATGTTCCAAAGGGAAGAGACCCCTCCCCAAGCCAGCCAGGCAGTGCTGCTATTTTAGGCTGGGGGGGATTAAGGCTGAACCATGACGAATGTCACAGAGTACTTTTCCTTTTTCCTCTGGGGCATGCTTCCTTTCCTCAGCTCAAAGGTTAGGATTCTCAGTTCCCAGAAAAGGACTACCCAAACTTCTTCCTAACTCTCTTTATCTCACTCATCCTGCCTCCCTTTCTCTATCCCTGGCTATTTCCTAGCCTCCTTTCTTTGAGGAGATTTGGGGTTTTTGAAACATCTATCCCTAGGATCAGATTTTTCCCTACTCAGTGGTCTGAAGTTTGAAACGATAGTGATATAAGTTGCCTCTTCCTTTTCCCAAAGACCTTAAGTGCTATGGCCACCCAGTAGTACCAATTTTCTTTGAGATCCTGTTTACCCACAGCCCATCTTGCCTTCCCTCCCAAAGCTCTACAGCCTGTGATGGCCCTGCCAGATTCTGGTCCCCAGGCCCTAGTAAGATTCCAAAGAGGCTTTTAAACTGCCTTTGCTCACTTACTGTTTGCTGCCCACAAGTCATACCAGTTCTCTTTCCCCTCCACAGTATAGCTCCTCATTGGAAACCTCCCCCCCCCAACTCCAGACCTAGAGGTAGAGTTGGAGGGCCAAGGAGGGGGAATCCAGTGCCTCTCTAAGGGCCTGATTATTTCCAAAGACTTGTGCTAATTTTCTGATATGATCCTCACATCTCTGTGAGGCACTAAATCCTCATTACTTTTCCTGACTGATGCATTCTAATTAGATCAACACTTAAAAAAAATTCACAATAGCCACAGGATGGCTTTCCATCTCATTAACTCCTCACTTATTATTTTCATGAAAATTACTGATAAAAATGTGCATCTCCATTTGGTGAGGCCTCACAGCCTCCTCAGCTCCTATCTTGAATCTCTCCCGTCACCGGGGCTGCGCACCGTTGCTATAGCAACCCACAATAATAGAAACTAATAAATTACAAACGAGATGCTCGTTGAGCAATTATTGTCCTCTTTTATGCAAGTTTCTTGCTAATTTTGATCATAAGGGAAAGTACAATAAGACTCTGAAGGAATGAGTCTATTTCAAGAGAATATTAGCAAACAGAAGCCTGGGCGGCTTCTTCAGATCTGTGATAAAATGATTTGGTTATTTCAGGCAATAGAAAGAGGAAATAAACTTCTTGTCCCACACTCCACATTATCCAAAGTCCTCACTCCACACCTTTCACTTTGTTCCAGTTTCACAAAGGTCTTACATAGCAAGGATGGTATTTGTTTTCAGGGTGAGAATCTCAGGAGATGTGGCTCACCGTCAAAGAAATATTCTCTTAGAGTCATTCCCTTCTTTTGCCTGCCTCCATCCAATCTAAAGTGTCCTGGGAATATGGCTGTAGGTGTACAGGAAGGTTCCTGTTCCAGAAGACCTTCTGGGAATAAGATGGCACAGTCTTTCCCTGTCACCCCTTCTAGCATTTCACAGTTTGTACCCACTCCTCACCTCTCTCACCCCACCAGATGTGGTGTATGAAGAGAATGAGTCATCACAAAACTTCTTCAGAAGACATTTCAACATGTTTAGATTGAAGGAAGAGGAGATAAAGTCATCTTCCTACCCTTCCTCTTAGAAATATCCTCAAAGTGGAACAGGAAGAATCAAAAGAGGGAGGTATTATTTATAGGATCATAGATTCATAGTTAGAAGGGACCTTAGCAGTCACCTCTTCCAATCCTCATTTTACAGACAAGGACACTGAGCTTTAAAGAGGGTTAATACCTTGCATGAGGTGACACAGACACTAAATGGTACAGTTGGGATTTCTACCGAAGAACTAGGACCCGTGTGCCATGTTTTCTAGGAGAGGAACCAAGAGTTCTATACAAATAGCAAATACCACCAAGGTGAGGCTCATCTTTGGATGGAAGTTTGGTGAAGAGATGTCCTTAGATCTCTTTCTTACATGATGAGTTGGAGGGGTCAGCAGAGCTCTCTTTTGATGGGCTTCTTAAGCTATAGGTTGGAGTATACCACAGTGATCTATCTCAACTTAGAATACAGAATCTGCCCTTCTTCCTACCTTCTAGCTTCTTTGAGATTGAAGTAGAGGGAGCTGGAGAAGTAGTATTGGACAATCACGCAAAGTTTTGGGGTCATGTATCGTGTGAACCCGAAAATAAACGCTGATGAAGCAACAGTGGGGTGAGAAGATGTAAGAACCATCAGAAGAAAGTGGTCAAAGAGATGAACTGTCCAGCAGGGAGAGAAAGGAGCTGAAGAATGGTCAGTTTGCCCATAGCAGCCACCACCAAGAACTCAGGCTGCCCAGAATACTTCAGCATTAGGGTTGAAGGTATGCTGCTTATGGAAAATCAGGAGCCTGGCTGCCTGGATATAAGTCTCAGTTTTGTCCCTACTTCAGAAAAGACACTCTCCTTCTCCAAAAGAGTTGTTTCACCTATAAACGGGAACACTTTGCTCAGCATTATTTTGGAGACTTCACTCATGTCATCTCTTTAGAGGCTCTTAACTACCGCCAGCTGTCAGCCCTAGGAGACTACATGAGATGAGCCCAGGAGAGTCTTGACAACTAAAGGAGCCAATGAGGCCCCTCTCAAAGCATCCTCAAGTATCTTCATGATGCCCACCCATTATTGTGCTAGGCCCAGCTAAGGAGTCAAAGGGGAGAGAGGGCCCCAAGAACCCTGAGTTGGAGGAAGCCTATCCTGAGACGTATGTTACCTGGGGGTGCAGGTTTATGGAGGGTTGGTTGGGGGAATAGGGACCTCCAAGGTCGTTCCTGAGCAGGTTGTCACTGTGCATCTTAGTCTTGAGGCAGGTGATATAACGATTACAAAAGTCCTTGCAGAGTTCATTCACTTTCTCCAACTCCAGCAGGTGGATTCTCAGAACCTGGATTGCTTTCACCATCTGGAGAGGTGGGGAAAGGCAGGGAAGGAGGGAGAGGTGAGGTCATGGCATCAATTCTGATATCATGCATACCCATTCATGTCTTTCCCATCCCCATCTCTGTGACCCCAAGGCCACGGGACCAGAAGCAGCATGACTCACTGAAGCAGCATCCAAGGGAACTGTGTAGCTTCTTAAGGAGGCCATGTTTCCAGAAAAGCTGCCATGGAATGCAGCAGGAAATGTAGATATTCTCCATCTCTGAGCTAGTAGAGCTCTAATCCAACCTCTTCCAGGAAGCCTTCTTAGATTAATCCTATCCTAATTCTCCAAAAGGTCCAAATAATTTCTAATTTTTGCCAGCTCCCCCATATATCAACATACTTTTTACAGTAATTATGCATCATTTCAAACTCTCCAGACTGAAGCTTCCTTTATGAAAATGAATAATATAAAAAAAAAAGAAAATGAATGATATCTAATAATAATAGCTAACATTTTGAAAGTGCTTTAAGTAATGTAAAGAACTTTAAGGTGTTATGTCATCTGGTCCTCACAACAACTCTGTGGGGTAGTTGCTATTATTATCACCCCCATTTTATAGGTGAAGAAACTGAGGCTGAGAGCTGTTAAATGACTTATCCAGGGTCACACCGCCACGTAAGCATCTGAGGCAGGATTTAATCTTAGGTCTTCCTAAATCCAAGTCCAGCACTCTATACACCACCTAGGTGCAAAACTAAACCAATTGAGCCAAAGTATTTGATAGTCACCACATCATACAAACTATACACTATTCTGTCCTGGTAGTCGCCCATTTCTCTGCTAAAGGGCGAAGGTAATGTTTCATTATCAGTTGTCTGGGATCTTTATGGATTTTTCATTTCCTCAGTTAATTTCCTCTTATGATATTTTGATTTACATTATTGTGGTTGTATCTACCTAGTCTCCTTGTATTGCCTATCAAAGAGACACAGTACAGGCAGCCCAGGACTAGAATCAGGAATGAATGAGTTTAAACCCTTCCCCACGTACTTACAAGTTCTGTGACCTTGGGCTAGTGACTTAAGTGCTACCTGCCTCAGTTTCCTCATCTGTAAAAGGGGGATAATATATTGCACCTACCTCCTAGCATTGTTTGGAGCACAAAGTGAGATCATAATTGTAAAGTGTTTAGCACTGTGCCTGGCACATAGTAGGCACTGTGCAAATGTATTATCATTATTATTTTAATTCCAAATTGAAATCTAGAATTTTTTAGTTATACCGCTAACAGTGTATCAGTGTACCTATCTTCTTATCACCCCTACAACATTAACTCTGTGTCACATCATTGTGAGATGGAACCTCAGAGTTGTTTTAATTTTCATTTCTCTCAATGATTAGTCATCTGGAGCATGTTTTGATTTGGTCATTTCAAGTTTGTAATCTTTGGCTCTTTATGCTTATTTTTGGATATCAGAATTTAATCAGTGATATTTGATACAACTATATTTGTTCTCTTTTTTTTTTCTCTTGGTGAGGCAATTGGGGTTAAGTGACTTGCCCTGAGCCACACAGCTAGTGGGTGTTATATGTCTGAGGTCGGATTTGAACTCAGGTCCTCTTGACTCCAGGGCTGGTGCTCTATCCACTATACCACCAACTGCCCCAACTGTGTTTGTTCTTCAGTCTGTATCCTAAGCTTCTGACGTGGTACTACTTCCCCTTCAGGCATTCAGTCAGTCCTTGTTGACTGACTCACTGACTCAGCTTGGGCCAAGGGGACAGAAGTGGTCATGTATTTAGCACTGTACGATTGTCCTTTACATTACAGGTATTTATGTGTTCTTGACTGTATTTGTTGCCTGTGTATCTTTGTGTGATTGTGTGTATCTTGACTCTTCAGTCAGAATGGGAAGTCCCCAGTCATTGTTTGCTGAGCAACAACTCAGAAAACACAATACAGTGGGATAATCACTCACTCAGCTCTTCACCTGCATCCTTCGTAATCAGTGAAGAACTGAGTAGAGAGGAGGGTTCTGACAATCCATGAACAAGGTTGGGGTGGGTATTGGGGGCAGGAGGAGAGGCCTCCCATTAGCATTGAAAGTTGTGCAGCATGTAATGACAACTACCAGTCTCCAGCTGGGCTCTGTAATTTAGGGCTGGAAGAGATGTGACAAAAATCTAGTCCAACTGCCTTTTTACAAATTAGGAAACTGAGATCCAGAGAGAGGAAGTGACTTGCCCAGGGTCACAGAGCTAGTAAGTGAGGCCAGATTTGAGATCAGGTCTTTCTGACTCCAGGCCCAGCAGTCTAGCTGCTACTCTACCCACCTTTCTCTGGCAGGAAATGTAATTAGAAGGAAGGATTGAGGTCAGGAACACAAGATCCTGGGATAACTAAACCTGAACCTATAAAGCCATCCTCACTTCTCTCATATCTTTTCCATCTATCCTCCTGGCAATGCACCCTCTACCTCTCCAGCCTTCCCTCCCTCATGTCTGGATAGCAACTTCATTATAATTGCTCCCTTCCTCTCTCTAGCATCCTCTGAATGGCCCAGGAATGTCTGGAAGACACCATGGTGGATCATTTGATCCAGCCTCTTGCATTTAGACTGATAAATATCTAAATAGTCCAGCACAGACTGTTGTCACTTCCCTTCTCAATACTGTCTAGAAATACAGACTTAGAGCCTCAGTAGGCCTCTCAAGGTTTTATCACTCTGTTGGTTAAGAAGTATGTTTTTATATCCAGTTAAAATCCTCCCAGCTTTAAGGTAAGCTCCTTTCCTCTTATTCAGTCTTCTCTCTAAACATGGAAAACAACTGATAAGCACTTCACTTATAAAATCTTCCAATAGTAGATGATAGCATTCAATTCATATTTGAGCAGCTCCTCTCTGGGAAAAGTAATTCTGATTTGTTTCACTTTCTTCTCCTAGAAAAGGCAGTGTGATGTAATGGAAGGAGCAAAGGACGTGGAATCAAACACCTGAACTCGAATCCTGACCCCGCTACTTATTACCCAGAAGCAACAACTTCTCTGGGTCTCTGTTGTAAGATGAGAGAACTGGAGTCCATAGACCTTTCCCATTTCTAAATGCCATGATCTTTTTCTATTCCCTAATCATCTTTGATGTTCTTGGCAACCTCCCTGGTTTCTTCACGTTCTTTTAAAAAGTACAATAAATGAAATGAGACATAATGCGCTAGTTTGGATCTAACCAAGAAATACGGCAGAAGGCATACAACTGACAACTTAGTGTAGCGTCTGGTACATAGTAAGCACTTAATAAATTAACTTTTTCTCACTCCCACCCCTTTTCCCCTCTCTCCCTTTTGTTCTGTCTGTGTTGGTATCTCCTCCCCAACCTTGCCATTTTCCACAACAGAATTGCTTGTTCATGCTTTGGTCAACTATAAGTCCTAGTCTTCTTCATTCTATATTTCTATTGTCAAGCTTTTGCTTCTAAGAATAGATGACTTTGTACTAGTTCCTGTTGAATTTCATTCTGATATGACTAGTTTCCCAAGATTATTTTAATATTGTTCTTGTCTTCCAGTATAGTAACAATTCCACGGGAGACAGTATCCCCTGTAAATCTGTTAAGCACCATCTCCATTTTTTTGTCCAAGTATTTTTCTTTTTCCTATAAAACCTACATACCATAAAATAGTTTTGTGACCTTGGGTAAGTCAATTAAACTCAATAAGCCTCACTTTCTTCACCCAGAAAAGGGTTAGCCTAAATGTCCTTTGAGATCCCTTCCAACTCTAAACTTATCTTTATGTTCCCTATGAAATACTTACTGCTCTCCCCTTCCCCCATGCCCATTATAATGCAGGATTTTAGAATCGCTGAATCTTAGAATTCAAAGGGACTTCAGAGTTCATTTAGTATAATCTACCACTGTACACTGAAATCATTTTCAAAACGTCCCTGCAGGTGTTTAGACAGCCTCTACTTGAACGTTTTCAGTGAGGGGGTTAGCCACTACCTTATATGGAAACCCACTCTCCTGTCAAACAGTTCTAATTCTTAAAAAGTTCTTCCTTATAATGAGTTTTATCATAAAATGATATGAAATAATCTCAGAGGTCATGTAGTCCAATACCTGTACCTAAGGAGGAATTCCTTCTACAGTGTTGCTGACAAGGGGGCATCTTGCCTGTATGTGAAGACCTCCATTGAGAGGGGGCTCACTACTTCAAGTCCACCATTCTACTTTTGAACAATCTAAATGATTCTTTGAAAGAAACTCTTCCTCTCTGTAATTTCCATCAATTGGTTTGAGTTTGGCAAAATAAATTAAGCTCCTCTTCCATATGATACCCTTTCAGTGCTTAAAGGCAATTATCACAATCCCTCCTCTCCATTCCAACCCCTTCCTTTATCTTCTCTCCATTGGTTTTAATTCTTTACTTTGGAGCTACTCAGAGCAAATTTAAATGCTATTTCACATATTATCTCTTCAGATATTTGAAGACAGCTATGTTGTTGTCCCTAAGGCTTCTTTTTTCGAGGCTAAATACCCATCATTTCTTCAGTTATTTCTCATATGGCATTGTTATGACATCATTCCTAATCTGACTGCATATCTCTGGACTCATGATAAATTACTGATGTCCCTCTTAGATTGTGGTGCCCCAAACTTAAACACGGTATTCCATATGTGTCTGACCTAAGCAAAATACAGTTGGACTATATCTTCCTTATCCTGGATACTATTCTTCTATTAATTATTCAACCAACAAGCATTTATTAAGTGCCTACTATGTGCCAGGCTCTATGTCAAGCTCTGAGGATACAAAGAAAGCTTAAAAGATCAAGTTCTCATTTTTGGCTGCCATATCATAGTAGTGAATCATATTGAAGCTGTGGTCCACTAAGTCTCTCAGGTCTTTCTCACATGAACTGGTTACGTCTTCCCTACCTAGGACTTATGTGATTAACCTTAAGGGCAGGAATTTACATTTATCTCTATTAAATTTTGTCTTGCCTCCAGCCCATCATCCAAGGCTTTAGCTACTTC